GTTTCTTCGGCTGTGATTGATTTTTTGCAAGCTGCGAAGTGTGCCATTTTCGTCAGTCGATCGACGACGACCAGGATCGCGTCATTTCCACTCGCCCCGGCCGGTAACCCCGTGATGAAGTCCATCGTCACCTGCTGCCAAGCACGCTATGGAGGTGGGATTGGCTGCAACTGTCCCGCCGGCCGCTTCCGTGTTGACTTCATGATCTGGCAAGTGGGACACGATGCCACGTGTCGCTGCACGTCGGTCAACATTTCGGGCCAGTAATAATACCGCTGCAGCTGCTGCCGTGTTTTCTCTACCCCGAAATGTCTCGAGGTAACCCCGTCGTGTGCCTCTTGTAATAGTAATTCCCGTAGCAGTGTGTACCCTGGTACCCAGATGCGGTCGGTCCCGGCTTTTACGTAATAGACTCCCTTGGCTGCTGCGAACTGCTGCGAATTTCCTCCTGTGAAGAATGGGTCCGTTTGATATCCGTGGGTAAATAGTCCTGTCAGTAGCGGGCTGGTCTGGGCGAGTAGTATCGCGTGGATCTGGGCAGTGGGGCGGGTCAGTGCGTCGGCGATGTTCGAGGCTCCTTTTTTATAGGTGACTGTGTAGTGGAAGTTTGACTCGAGGAAATCGAGCCACCGAATCTGTCGTGGGTTGAGGTGGGGCTGTGCGCGGAGGTACTGTAGTGATCGGTGGTCTGTCCGTACGGTCACGTCTGCGCCGGTCAAGTAGCAGCGCCACACTTTGAACGCATGCACGATCGCGAGCATTTCGCGGTCGTGTATCGGGTAATTTCGCTCGGGCGGATGCAGTTTTCGTGACTCGTATGCGATGGGCTGTAGGCCGTTGTCGAAGTCCTGTAGCAGTACGGCTCCAATGGCGATGTCGCTTGCGTCTGTAACAACCTCGAAGGGGCGGTGTGGGTCGGCGATGCGCAGGACGGGCGGTGAACAGAGAACATTTTTCAGGGCAGAGAAGGCAGCATGCTCTTTCTCCCCCCACGTAAAAACGACCCCCTTTCGCAGTAAATCCGTCAGCGGGGCAGTCAACTGTGCCATGTCGGGGACGAACCGACGAACATAATTAACGAATCCTAAAAAACTCTGCAGTTCCGTGATGTTCGTCGGGGGACGCCACGCTTTTACCGTATCTAGCTTCTTTGGGTCGATTTCAACTCCAGCCGCCGAAATAACGTGCCCCAAAAATTCTAGTCTGTCCCGAAAAAACTCGCACTTAGAGCCCTTGGTGAGTAACCGATGTTCCTCTAAAACTTTAAATACCGCTTCGAGATCCGCTAAGTGCTGCTGCTTGTTGCGACTGTAGACGAGGATGTCGTCGAGGTAAACTATCACGCATTTATCTAAGAGTGGCCTAAATGCCTCGTTCATGGTCATCTGAAATGTTGCGGGTGCGTTGGTCAGCCCGAAAGGCATCACCGTGTACTCAAACGACCCGTACCTAGTCCTAAATGCTGTCTTGGCGCAGTCCGATGGTTCGACCCGAATCTGATGGTAACCCCCCCGTAAGTCTATTTTCGAAAACACCCGTGCTGTTCGCAGTTGGTCGATCAGTTCGTCGGCGCGGGGAATGGGGTACCGCGACTTGACTGTTACCCTGTTGAGCGCTCGGTAATCGATGCACATGCGAAACCCTCCGTCTTTTTTCGGTGTGAACAGTATCGGTGCGGCAAACGGTGACGAACTTGGTCGAATAAACTGCTTCTCTAACAAATAATCTAACTGCTTCCTCAGTTCGTCGAGCTCGGGCTGTGTCAGTCTGAACTGGCGCTGTACAGTTGGCTGTGCCCCCGGTTCTAACTCGATCCTATGATCATGCGCCCGCTGAGGTGGCAGCCCTTCCGGTAAGTCGTCTGGAAAAATCCCCGGGTACCGTTTCAACAGTTCCTGTAGTTCGGGCGGTACTGCTGCCAACAGTTTCTGAAAATCGCTCGGTTGCTCCGCTTCTCCTACTAATGCTATACCTACTGCGTACACATCAGCTCCAGCGGCGACAACCCGTTTCATCGTGATGGCGTTGACGTGGACCGTTGAGGACTCGGGCGACTGCCAGCGAGGTAGCATGACCCAGTTGCCGCTACTTCACACAGTGCAGCTACCAGTCGTCCAGTCGATTCGTGGGTTGTACCGTCGTAGCCAATCACGTCCCAGTAAAACATCATGCCCATCCAATGTCGTCGCGAGCATTTCCTGTGTAAACCCGAGGTTTCCTCCGCAGCGAACTTTTACTCTCTCCACCTTTTCCCGTATGGCCAGCGGCGTGCCGTCAACTAAGCGTGCGTCGATCTCAGGTAAGCAGCGACTAAGTGTCAGTTGTAATTTTCGCGCAGTTGTGGTATTAACTAAACTGTGGCTTGCTCCTCCGTCAATAAAAATCTTCACTGCTGCTCCCTGTATTTTCCCGTAGATCAGTACTGGGCAATCCGTCGTTGTACCCTCCTTATTCATCCGAGCCCGATCGATGGCGTGAATCGGTACTGTGACTCGGTGAGGGTCGGTGCGGTTGGGCGAGCAGGCAGTCTCGTCAGTAGTTGGCCCAACTTCTACTGACTGCTGGCGTTTCCCTGCCTCTGAGACTCCCTTCCCTGCTCTGCTCCGCGGCGCCTTAGCTCCTCTGGGCATTCGCTCTTGCGATGGCCCGGCCTGTTGCAAGCAAAGCAGCGCCCCTTAAACGGTGCGGCAGCTGCATTCGTTGCAACAGCGTTTACAGTGGCGTGCTCGATCGGTCCCCGAGGACGATGTCCGTAGTAGGACCCCGGTCTCGGTCGGCGTAGAATGTCGATTTTCTCGGCGAGCGCGAGAATCTCGTTGATTTCGTGCGAGATATCCGGCTTCAGCCCTCCGACGTAACGGTCCACCCGCTCCGCTTCGTGCATGTAGCCGACCTGCTCGCAAAGTGCGAGAAAACCGCTCGTGTAATCTTGAACCGACCCGAGCTGCCGCCAAGTGCGCAATCTCTGACGCGCTGAAATAGAAGCCGCGATCGGCTCGAAGCGCGCCCGAAGCCCTGCGCACCACGCATCCCACGTGCTGTATTGGGCGGTCTCGCAGAATGAACTCCAGGTGACAGCTGGACCCGTGGGCCCTTCCTCTTGCGACGGTGGCTCGTAGGCGCGTGACGACGTCACGATGACTCGCCACCAGTCCATGGCGGGACCCCTTAACAGCGAAACGGCATACCGAATCTTCGCTGCGTCCGACTCGACGTAATTCGCGTCGAAGAAGACGTTCATCGTGAAGACCCACGATTGAACCGTCGGACCTCCACGCTGGCTCGGGTCGAAGCAGGGCGGGCGTTGTGGCTTGAGTGGCATTTGTGCCATGATGGCCTGTTCGCCACTTGTCGCCGCGAACTCCACGTACCGACGGGCTTCGCGAGGCTCCCGCGGGCTTGGTGCGACCCTGTTTCCTCCCATGCCAGGCATCGGCTGGGCGGCGCCATCGCTGGCTGCGCCTGAGCGCTGTCCCACGCTGTTGTTTTGTGTTGGTGTGCCGGACGAGATGACGATCGGCTCGTCTGATTGTGCAGATGCATTTGTCGGTGCGTGTGGTGGCGCTGGAGTGTTCATCGTTGATTGCTGACGCGCGGAGTCACGTTCCGCCGTGAGCGTCGCAATTTCGAGCGCCGAATCTTCGAGTTGGCGCACCAGACGGTCGAGCTGCTCCTGCGTCAATGTGGCGAGCGTGAATTCGGCCATGGCGGGGGTGTCGGGCGAACTCAGCGAGAGCCTCAGTCGTGGCCGTGCGTGCTTACGAGAGAGCACTACGAGCGGCGGTGCTGTGTCACTGAGGGACGTCTACCCCCCCCAAAATTTGAGATAGTGGGGAAGCGAAGGTGTGGGTGCGGTCCGAGAAGAGGTCGTAGGCTCTGAATACCAAGTGTTACGAGTGCAATTGAGTGAACGAACGAGAATTGCACTATCGAAGCAAGAGTCCAATGAGCGAAGGCATGAGCGAGGAATATATAGCGAAACTACAGTGGTAACGGTAATGGACTGTGGTTGTCGCGCGACGGGCCTGGGACTGAGGTTGGGAAAAAGTGTCGAAGCGGAGGCCCGGAGCGCGGGTTACCCGCCGAGCCGTGAGGTCGGGGTGCGATGTGCGAAGGTGGCGGGCAGATCGTCGATGCGAGAGTTGCGAGTGGTAACGGTGCTGACTGTGGTGCTACAGTGATGTACGCGTTGAGCAGGGATGCCAAGTAAGGAAAAGGAATTTTCCTTACACATATCGATTAGTTGGAAGCCCCATTATCCAGTTACTTGAATATATACCCCACCACCTCGTCAAGATGTGCACTTTAGATCGCCAAAATCAGTCTTCCGCCAATACCATGCACACAAACCCCAACCACACCACAAAATCACCAATTTCGCCTAACACAGTACTCAACTCTCACCCTAGCCCTGCCCGCACATCCACTCCAACCCCACCCCTTTTTCTCCCCGATGTCGCGTCAGCACTGAGCAGCACAGGGTTACCGAGGACGTGGGGAGGCGGGCAAGGGCTGAATGAACTCATCGTAGCAGCCCTGCTCCCCATCCGCCTCGTAGCACGCTCGGCACAGGTCAAAGTCCGGCAGGCTGACGGTGACATGCAAGGAAGGCAAGTAAGGAGAGAGATGCAATGGGGGGGTCAGAGCCATGGAGGGAGGAGGAACCCGGAGACGGAGGGGGGGCGAGAATAGGAGCCGGGCAAAGTGAGTTCAAAGAGGTGAAGCTGGGAAAAGGGGGGAAACGGCGGCGATGGGAGATTGGAGGAGTGAAGGTGAGGCGGTGGGGAGAGGTTGGCACGAGAGGGAGAAGAGATGGGGTTTTGGAAGGCAATCAGACTGAACGACATGGGAAAGGAGGAAAGAGGGGAGACTGGAAGGTGAGGTGTGAGGGTGGCATGAATGGGTGACGAGATGAATTCGACGAGAGAGAATAGACAGCAGTAGCAAGGAGGGCAGGCAAGGAAGCTACAAGGGGGAGTCGACAATAATGGTGAAAAGAGTTAGAAGGGAATGCACGTGGAAGGAGAGAAGGAGAGAGTGAAGTGAGAGAGAGGGGGGGAGAAGGGGAGGGGGGAAGAGAAGAGGGGACAGAGTGGGAGGGTAAGGGAGAGATGAAAGTACTGAAGGCATGGCACGCGAGTGAGAGTAAATGAGCAGATGAGCAAGCGAGCGAGGGAATGAGTATGCAAGGAAGAGGGAAAGCGAGTGAGCGAGCGAGTCCGTGAGTGAGTGAATGAGCGAGTGAGTGAGAGAACGTACACATTGGACTTGTACCGAGCCCCCACAATGGGGCACATACGGCACAGGTCGCACTCGATTCCCTCATGCACCACCGCTGCCGCTGCCGCTGCCGCCGCCGCTGCTGCAGCTGCAGCAGCAAGGTAAGCCTCATCCCCCTTCTCCTCAACATCCACGCCCTTCCCTTGCCCGCCCACAGGGACCGGCAGTGGCACTCTCCCCCCTGCTGCTCCTCCTGCCAGTGCCCTGGAATCACGCGGTGAGACAGCCCGTGCAAACAGACCACCACCGGTCGCAGTAGCTGCAGCAGGCAATGCCCCTCCTGCAGCTACTATTCCTTCCAGTGCTGCTGCATGCCCTGCTGCTGCTGCTCCTGCCACTCCCGGTGCGCCTGCTGCCGCGACCGCTGGGATTGATCCTGCTGCTGCTACCGAAACGGGTCTCGTGGCGTGTGGGGAGAGGTTGGGGATCAGCCCAGCCTTGGCCATAGCACCTGCCCCTCCGCCCACTACTGTTCCTGCAGGAACAAGCCCTGGGATTGGCGGAGTGACAGTAAGCCTGCCACCGCTGCTGCTGCTTGTGGTGGTGGTAGTGCTGCTATGAAGAGCGACCAGACCTGCGGCAGATCCCACTGCTCGGTTTCCCAGGGTCGCCTTTCCTGCTGCTGCAGCAGGGAAAGCGGCAGCAGCGCCGGCAGCCGGGAGCTTAACCGCAGCGGGAGCAGCTCCAGCAGATCCTAGAATCGGCACACCGGCAGCAGCAGCAGCAGCAGCAGCAGCGTGAGAAGCATCGGCAGCAGCATCAGCCGCTTGTCCTGGGGCGAAGGCGATCTGGAGCAGGAGAGAGGAGCGGTTCTTGACCGCAGCAGCCACAACAGCGTTGATTTTCTCTAGAGTCACGCCCAGGAGAAGGTCCGTGGCCCCATGGTCTTCCCGGAGTTCCACACCCGACGCTGACTGCACATGGATATACACACGCTCTGCACCGATTCCCTCTATTCCCTCCGCCTTCCGCCCCTGCTTGATCCACCTGTTCCTGCCGCCTCCCCTCGCTTTCTTCGCCGCTGCTTTCTTTCCGAGTGGTTCTCCGGGTGCTGCTGTCCCGTTCGGGACTGAACCCTCCGTTCCCTCGGGCGTCTTTTGCGTTGATTCCTCCGCCTTCCCCCCATCTGCTACTCCCCTCTCACCTTCCCCCGCTTCTGCCTTCCCGTCACCCTCCGCGGCTTCCCTTCCGCCCACCTCCACCTCCCTATCCCCCCCCCCCTCCTCCTCATCTTCTTCCTCCTCTTCTTCTTCCTCTACATTCACACTCAATCTGAGCGGATTCAGCTTCTGTAAAAACAGCGCGTCCTTTAAATCCCTATCGTCTATAAGGTCAACCGAGTCGCCCTCCGAGTCGCGGTACGTCACCACTAGCCGCTCCCGCACGCCGCCTAAACTACTCCCGTCACCGCTGCAGTTGCCGATGCCGAAGAGCTGCTTTAAGTGATCATGGAGGGTGGAGATTGAGAGATCGGGCGTGCGACGCAGTGTGAGGCGGCGATTGCTGCCGCCACAAGTGGCCTGCAGGTGCGATAGTAGCGGGAGAGAGGAAAGCAAAGCAGTGAATGATGGATGGGTTAACGGATGTGACTTATTGTGCAGAGTATACGCGCCGGGTAACGCGGCGAAGCTCTGCGAGCGCAGGGAAACGTTCTCAAGTTAGCGGCCAGCCGCCAACGGCCCGAAGGCAGGCAAACATACGTTAAAAGGTAAAGTCAAAGCTTCTGGAATCGGAATATGGACATTATACCTGATGTATTAAAAAACATAAATAACTGAAACAATCAATCTCCTCGTTTCCTCTTTCTTTTTACTCGCTATATTTTACGTCCGTCCCCCCCAAAAAAAGGATCGATCATCACCGTCGTCAACGATCTCTTCCCGCAGATGTCAACTAGCTAAAGGTTTCCCGCCATTTAACGTCCTCCAGCTAAATATTCCCCGTGCGGCGATCTGAGCTCGCGAGTCTTACGTAGGCACAATTTCGCCTTTTACGAATCAGAGCTCACCTTAATAACGAGAATGTCCTCCACGCCGATTTCCATTTGAGAACACCCACGTGCGGGAGAGTGAAACACGCCTTGTGTATCCCGCCGAAATTGCGACGGGGTTCCAAGTACAAGGAACTTCAACGTCCGTGCCGGCGCTGGTCGGGTTTACGGCCCTGATCTGGCTATGGCTGGCAGGAAGAGTTTCAGGTGCGTGAAGATGTGAGGGCGAGACATACGGAGGGGAGGGGTGGAGGTGGGAAGAAATGGCAGCCGAACGGGGCTACAGGCGGAGTAGGTAAGACCATCTGGAATATGGAGTGGAGATGGGTTGGGAGGTGATTAGAATTGATGAGACTATCTTACACACAAATTACGCTAGCAAAGGCACATATAACACATACATCAATCAAAAGCATGGTCTTCAAAAAAAGTGTCGATGTTCTGAATTTAGTTTTCTGTGGAATGTTTTTGCACTTGGGTTTTTCTTTATTTGGATGAAATAACAATGTATAATACATATCCTGTCCTAGTTATGCGTGCATTTCCCATTATAAGTGGCATAAGAGAGATTTAAATTGGTGTGACGAACCTTCCACTTTAATGTTGCCTTACTTCCTTGCTATAATATTGATATTGCCCTAGTCTCTGTGTCTATTCTTGAATACATTAAGCATTTTATAGCGGGTATGTATAATAGCCGTCCCCCGAAAGTCCCTTCCCCTCTTACGAATGCTGCCCAAACGCCCAGCGCCACCCTGCTTTTTGAACGTTTTGGAGGGGAAGGTGTTCCATCCAACCCATCTGGGTTCAGAATTTTATGACACACTTCAATCACGGTACCCAATCACGGTACCTATTAAAAGTCACGAATACATTCTAGGCCAGCAGTGCTGAACGTAAAAGAAAGAGGACAAATTCTGAGAAAAGTGGCGATTTTCAGTCTGATAAACTATGTTATAGAATTCCAGGTAGGGGAAGGAAGATAGTCGTTCCACGTGCACTGACCTGAGAGGGCCGAGGTCTGCGACGGCGCGTCTCCAGCAAGTAGGCACTGCCCTACTACACCACACTCAGAACGGACGGAACTGCAGTGTACCGCAAATTTAGGAGATGCATCTGGAGCCACCCTCAAATGTCCAGCCAGAACGTTCTCCATGAAGGCTCTTTTCCTGGCAGTTTAGGTGAATCAATTTGGCAATTCTTGAGAATGCCGACCCCAAAGTTGCCTGCGCAACCGCTGCATGCATCCAATGTTACATGCTTCAATGGCTGAACGTGAGATATAATGCACTTCACCTCTTGATGTTGAATATGCCGACGGAAGCAGTAGGAGAAAAGGCTTTCTTGCTGGCGGGCTCATGGTAGAGTGGACTGACCAAAGCTGATGGGTGCAATGCATCGTATGAACTCGCGGCCCGCCGGAATGAAGGCCGCCGTTTCCTGGATATAGCTGCTGAATGAGTGTAGCAGCACGTAGTATATTTTTACACATGCGTTACAGTTAACATTCCGAACTGGAGTGAGTGAGTGGTGAGTTCCATGGCACTGAGTCGAAGCGTGACTTGAGCTGCGACCGTTGATTGGTCATGAGAGGCCGGCACAGGCTCAAGACTGGCGCTTCGGTCAGCAGCAATCGCAACGCATCCGATTCTGGGGCCAGCCGCACGAAGCGCCCAGCTCTCTCACCGCATTTTCTCGTCGCAATCGCGTGTGTCAGCGCTTTCATTTTATTCGCGCTTGTGAGTTTGCAAGCATCGATACGCTCGCAGTACGGCTCTCCCGAATCTGGCCGTGTTTTGCGTGAAGCTAAAAACATCTCGTCCAATGAGTCCACGCCACGTGTCATTAGCGGCAGATTCCAGCCAGGTGCAGACGACTTGACGTCAGCTAGTAAGCAGACAGACTCGATCGAACAATCACCGCCGACCTATCCAGAAACGTATGTTTCTCCCCCTGGCGCAGGCATCCGGCAGAATGAGGGGGTTGCGAAGGCAGAAGGGGCTGCGGAGAAGTGGGCTGAGGAACAGGCGGAAAGGGGGAGGAGGATCGAGCGAACGGAGGGGGCGGAGCGGAAGGATGCGGAGAACAGGGAGCGGGAAGCGGGTGGGGGCCGAGCGGACACGGTCGCGGGGACGGCCGGTTTACGATCGATTCAATCTAGTTTAAGGACAGGTGCTGACTTACCGGCAATGGTATCGATACTGTCAGGTTCTACGTCCGCGTTACAGTCAGACTCGCCTTTTACTTCGTCCCAGGCCTCCTCGGCGCAGGCCGGGGAGTGCCTCCGCCCGCTGTGGGACGTGCGCGCGGATCTGCGCGGCGCTGCTGCGCTCTCCAGCGCGACGGCCGCGCAGGTGATGGCGGAGGCGGGGGAGACGGCGCGGGGGATGGACGAAGAGAGCGCCATGGACGAGCCTGAGGCGTGGCTGAGCGCGGGGACGGCGGAAGGGGATGCGCGGGCGGAGGAAGAACACGCTTGCGGAGGAGGAGATGGGCGGACGGCGGAGTCAGGGGAGGGGAACGGGCAGGAGGGCGACGGGGACGCGAGGGAAAAGGAGGACGGAGATGCGGGAAAGGCAGGGAGGGGAGATGGGAAGGGGAAGGAGGAGGGGGTTGCGGGGAAGGGAGAGGCAAGTGCGGGAGGTTGTAACAGGGAAGCGGATATTGACTTACAAGGGGTAGAGGAGATGGTGTGGGGGAGAGAAGGGGAGATGCATGCACAGCAGCATGGCAAGGAGCAGTATGATAGTAGCTTTAAGGATGGCATGGGCGGTGCTATCTGTAGCACCGTCCAGTGCTGGTCGCCTAGAGACGATCCTGACTTCATGCTTCTCCTCTCCAACCCCTCCTCTTTCACCTCCTCCTCCTCCTCCTCCTCCTCCTCCTCCTCCTCCTCCTCCTCCTCCTCCTCCTCCTCCTCCTCCTCCTCCTCCTCCTCCTCCTCCTCCTCCTCCTCGTCCTCCTCCTCCTCCTCCTCCTCCTCCTCCTCCTCCTCCTCCTCCTCCTCCTCCTCCTCCTCCTCCTCCTCCTCCTCCTCCCTCTCCTCCTCCTCCTCCTCCTCCTCCTCCTCCTCCTCCTCCTCCTCCTCCTCCTCCTCCTCCTCCTCCTCCTCCTCCTCCTCCTCCTCCTCCTCCTCCTCCCTCTCCTCTTTTCCCCCCTCCTCCTCCACCCCCCCCTTCACCCTCTCCTCGGCTCTCCCCCCACAAGCCGGCCGCCCCACTTACACCCGCCGCCCGCTTTCGCGCACAATTAAATCTGATTCGCTCGCCCGCGTGTATCTTGATGCGATGCGATACAAGGGGCCGGGGGTCAATGCTGCGGTAGAAAAGGAGGAGGAGGAGGAAGAGGAGGAGAAGGAGGAGAAGCGGAAGAAGAGGAGGAGAAGGAGGAGGAGGGGGGGGAGGAGGAGGAAGAGGAAGGAGGAGAGGAAGAGGTTTGAGGAGAGGAGAAGGGAGGAGGATGCGGGGCAGGAGGGTAGTCAGGGAGGAAAGTGGGAGAGGGAGGAGGAGGGGGAGGATGGGGGGAAGAGAAAGGGTGAGCAGGAGGAAGAGGAGAAAGGGCCAGGTGTGCTGGTTATTACAGGCAAGGGAAGTATTACAGGCAAGGGAAGTATTACAGGCAAGGGAAGTATTACAGGCAAGGGAAGTATTACAGGCAAGGGAAGGAGGAGATTAATGGAGCTGAGCAAAGCAGTTCCCTCCAGCATCAGCAGCGGCGGCGGCAGCGACAGCAGCAGCAGAGTTCCTGCCACAAACACAGGCATTAGCAACACCAACAATATCAGCAGCACTAGCAGCACCAGCAGCAGTACCACGATTGCAGCCGCCGCCGCCGCCGCCGCCAGCGCCGCCACGAGCGCCAGTAGCATGAAGAGCAACTCTACGTCTTCCTCTCATCTCATCCCCCCGCCTCGCACCCTCCGCGGCCCCCCGTGCCCGCGCTTCGCATACACATACCCGGGCATGCCCCACGTGGCGTCATGCTGGGTGGAAGGGGTGGTGGACGAGAGTGCAGTGGGTGCGTCTGTGCCCAGCACTTGCGATAACCCCGCGGATAAGCGCTGCATGGGGAGCGAGGACAGGGCGGAGCTGCCCGTGTGGAACGCACAGGTGAGGATGGAAGGGGGGAAGGGGGGAAGGGGGGAAGGGGGGAAGGGGGGAAGGGGGGAAGGGGGGAAGGGGGGAAGGGGGGAAGGGGGGAAGGGGGGAAGGGGGGTGGGGGCGTCGTGCTGGGTGGATGGGTTGGTGGGTGGACGAGAGTGCAGTGGGTGCGTCTCTGCCCAACATATATGAGAACCCTGTGGATAAGCGCTGCATGGGGGGGGGAGGATACAGGGCGGAGCTGCCCATGGGGAGTGCACAGGTGAGGATGGAGAGGAGAGGGGACGGTGGGGGTGGGTGTGGCGTCGTGCTGGGTGGAAGGGGTGGTGGACCAGAGTGCAGTGAAACAACCCAGCGGTAAAGCGCTGCATGGGGAGCGAGGACTGGGCAGAGTTGCCGGTGTGGAAGAGCATACAGGTGGGGATGGTGAAGGGGGAAGGGGGAGATTTAGGGGACGAGAGTGTAATGGGTCCCTCGGCGCCCAGTACCTGCATTTACCCCACGGATAAGCCCTGCATGGGGGATGAGAGCAGGGGGTAGCTGCCTGTGTGGAGCACACAGGTGGGGATGAATGAGGGGGTGGACTTGGGGGCTTGGGGTTGTACTATTGGGGTCAAGACACCACACCACACCACAATTCGAGGGTCGCTTGTATAGGATACACCACACCACACCACACCACACCACACCACACCACACCACACCACACCACACCACACCACACCACACCACATGGTACAGCCCATTCTCTTTCTCTCCTAACTCGTCATCTCAGTTAGTCATCTGGATAAAAAGGCCTGAGCACACTCCATTGCTGCCTTTAATCACAACGAGTGTGCTCACCCCAAAGCTTTCCCTTGCTAAGATAATCCCCTCTCCCCTCTCCCGTCACCTATCTCCTCTCTCCCCTTTCCCCTTTCCGCTCTCCCTTTACCCCACTTCGTCCCACCCCTCAGCTGCTACTGCTGCACGATGTGTACTTGGCTGCACACGGGCGAGTGCACAACAGCACACAACCGCACCTAACCCCTCCCTCTTCCCCACCTCCTCCACCCCTCGGCTGCTGCTTCTGCACGATGTGTACTTGACTGCACACGGGGCGAGGTTCAACGCCACGCATCCCGTTGACTACAACGCGTGGGCTCAGCTCAGGTCTACTGGCCTTTCCACTCCCTGATACCCTCCCCTCTCCCCCCTTCCTCCCCCAGTTGCTGCTGCTGCACGATGTGTGCTTGGCTGCACACAGCCGAGTGTTCAACACCACGCCACACATGTATTTGACCACAACGCGTGTGCTCAGGAGCTCAGCTCAATGCATTCCCACTCCCTAATACTCTCCCCTCTGCCCGCCCGTCCTTCCCCCAGTTGCTGCTGCTGCACGATGTGTATTTGGACGCTCACGGGCGAGTGTTCAATGCCACTCATGCCTTTGACTACAACGCGTGTGCTCAGTTTGATAGCTCCACATTCACTTACTACGGTGGTGGCCCTACCATCAACTCCACCGTCCGCAGAGGAAAGGCCAGTCAGAGTATAGAGTCTGCCGAGTCTGCCGAGTATACGCAGGGGAATGCCAAGTTTGTTGATCGTGGGAGGGATGGCGTTAGCAGGAAGAGGGAGGCGCTTGAGGAAGCAGCTGAGGAAGGTGGGGAGGAAGGTGGGAAAGAGGCTGCTGCTACTGCTGCTGCTGCCGAAGCTTTTGCTGTTGATGGTGCAGGTAACAGGAGGCAGAGGAGGAGGGAAGTACATGACAGCAGGATTGGCGGGCGAGGCCTGCTGAGTGTCCTGTGGAGAAGGCCTGGCGGGGCCAGGCGTGGGGATGGAAGGATGCATGGGAGTGTTGCCGAGGGTGCAGAGAGTGAACCTGGTACTGAGGCAATGGCAGCACTTGATGCCGGGCCACATGGAGCAGATGGGGCACATGGAGCAGATGGAGCAGATGGGGCAGATGGAGCAGATGGGGCAGATGGGGCAGATGGAGCAGATGGAGCAGATGGAGCAGATGGAGCAGATGGAGCAGATGGGGCAGATGGGGCAGATGGGGCAGATGGGGCAGATGGGGCAGATGGAGCAGATGGAGCAGATGGAGCAGATGGAGCAGATGGAGCAGATGGGGCAGATGGGGCAGATGGGGCAGATGGGGCAGATGGAGCAGATGGGGCAGATGGAGCAGATGGGGCAGATGGAGCAGATGGGGCAGATGGGGCAGATGGGGCAGATGGGGCAGATGGAGCAGATGGGGCAGATGGGGCAGATGGGGCAGATGGGGCAGATGGAGCAGATGGGGCAGATGGGGCAGATGGGGCAGATGGAGCAGATGGGGCAGATGGGGCAGATGGAGCAGATGGGGCAGATGGAGCAGATGGAGCAGATGGGGCAGATGGGGCGGATGGGGCAGATGGGGCAGATGGAGCAGATGGGGCAGATGGGGCAGATGGGGCAGATGGGGCAGATGGGGCGGATGGGGCGGATGGGGCGGATGGGGCGGATGGGGCGGATGGGGCGGATGGGGCGGATGGGGCAGATGGGGCGGATGGGGCAGATGGGGCAGATGGGGCAAAAGAAGAAGTTGAAGGAACCAGTGCAGAAGAAGTGGCAGCAGAAGGGAGTGCGAGAGCACAGAGAGCAGAGGAGCAGGAGGGACAGAGTGGACAGCAGAAACGGATATACAGACAGACAGACAGGAAACGAAGGGGGGGGGGAGGAGAAAGCATAAGTGGCAAGGGGAGGAATCGAGAAAGACGGCGACGAGGGAAGAGAAGGAGAAGAAGAAGAAGAAAAAGAAGAGCAAGACAAAGAAAGGAAATTCCTCCTACGACAATGGTTACTCACTTTCCCGCCCTCATCTCCCTTGCGGATCCCTTTGGCTGTAGCAACCGTGCCACCCTGCTTCACCTGCTCCCTGCTGCGCTCTCTCTCTCTCCTCTCCTCTCCTCCCTCCCCTCCTCCTCCTCCCGCATTCCGGTTGCATTCTCCGGCCCTCTTTCTGTTCCAAATGAAAATCCAGCTGATCCTGGGGCGGTGGAGAGCGGTAGCAGCAGTGACGGCAGCAGTAGTGACGACAGCAGCAGTGACGGCATTAGCAGCAGCGACGGCAGTAGCAGCAGCAGCAGCAATGGGGGCAGCGGCAGCAGCAGCAAGCAGAAGGAGATTGTGGGCGTGAGTCAGTGGGAGCAGGCAGTAGCGATTGGGGCTGTGGCATTTCTACAAGGGCAGACAGAAAGCACAGAAAGCAGTGCAGAAGGGGTGAGATGGAGAGCAGGTGTGGCAGGGGCAGCGGGAGCAGTGGGAGCAGCAGGGGCAGTAGGGGCAGCGTGGGGAGCAGAGGAGCATGGAGAAACGGCGCTTGTGCCTGCTGAGTCAAGTCAAGGGACAGAGGAGCACATGGAGCAAGAGAGGATGCTCGGGAGCATGGAGGTGCATGAAGTGCAGGAGGGCAGCCTGTTCTTCGCAGAAAGGCTCTTTCTGGTGAGTTGCTTTTGAGGCGCCTCAAAGGTCTTGTGAGGCGCCTCAAGAGGTGCATGAAGTGCAGGAGGGCAGCCTGTTCTTCGCGCAAAGGCTCTTCCTGGTGAGTTGCTTTGGGGCTTTCTTTTCTCCCCTTCCTCGCAACTCGTTCACCCGTCTTGTTTCTGAGAGATTTGAGTGCCCTCTTGAATCCTGCAGTACAATGTTACACGGCACACTTTCCTGCTTTCATGCCTTCCGCGTACCTCGTTTAGCTGTTTGTTTCTGAGAGAATGAGTGTCATCTTTGAACTTGGTAGTGCAGTGTCACACGGCACACTTTCCTGGTCGCCTTGAACGCGGTTCTCCATATCCGTTCTTCTTATTGTTCCTTTTGAGACGTCTCAAAACTCTTCTATTTTCACGTCGCTTTGAACGCGGTTCTCCATATCCGTTCTTCTTATTGTTCCTTTGTCCTCCTCTTCCCTCTCCCTTCTCCTGTCTCCCCTCTCCCGTCTCCCCTTTCCCCTCTCCCTTCGCCCCTCGCCCCTTCCCCCCTCCGCCCTCCCCTCACCCCCTCTCCCCATGACAGCCACTGCACCAGCGCTGTGGGCGGCCCAGCAGGGCACTATGGCAGCGCCTGCGCTCGCTGCATCTGCTGCCCAAGCAGCCGCCCCCGCTTCTGCCACCACGTGCGTGCTCCTCTCCCAGCTCACCCTGCCCTGCCAAGAGGCCGTAAGTCACAGAGCAGCAGCCTGATTGTGAAGGTGTCTGAAAGTGTCCAAAAAGTTTCCAGAAAGTGTCCAGAAAGTTTCCAGAAAGTGTCCAGAAAGTGTTCAGAAAGTGTCCAGAAAGTTTCCAGAAAGTGTCCAGAAAGTGTCCAGAAAGTGTCCAGAAAGTGTCCAGAAAGTGTCCAGAAAGTTTCCAGAAAGTGTCCAGAAAGTGTCCAGAAAGTGTCCATCTTTCAGAAAAGAAGCATAGTTGGCAACACTACTCAAAGAACATCATTCTGACTCTTCAGGCGAATACAGTGTGCGCCTTTTCCTCCGCTTATCTACTTCTCTCCTGTCCTCCCCTGTAATTCCACCCATAGCAGATTCCACCATCCTCTCCCCTCCCCCCACGCACTCTCAAGATTTTTCATCTGGGGCCGACTGGGTGGTAGTGGTGGGGGTGGATGCCCCATGGGACATGCATGAAGGCTCACCTGAAGATTCACCTGAAGAGCGGCAACAGCAGCGGCAACAGGAAGGGAAACAGGACCAGCAGCAGCCGCAAAGGCAGCAGCAGGCGCAGCAGCAGCAGGCGCAGCAGCAGGCGCAGCAGCAGCAGGCAACTGGAAGTAACTCATCCAACTCTAGCCCTCCCGAACCCCGCCCGCGCCCGCTCGTGCACTCCTTGGATCTGCTGCAGCGCCTGCAGCAATGGGCCGGGCAGGGGCGGGTGGTGAAGTACCGGCAAGGCAGCATGCGTGTGGGGGAGCGCAGGGCCCTGTTTGGGAGAGCTCGCCTGCTGGTGGCGGCTCATGGCTCTGTGCTGCCCAATATGGTCTTCATGCCCCCGGGTGAGGCTCTCTGCTTGCTTGGTCTTCATGCTGTTGCATGGTTCTCGCTGCGGCTAGCCTGCTGGTGGCGGCTCACGGGTCTGTGCTGCCGGATATGGTCTTCATGCCCCCATGTGAGGCTCTCGGCTCTCGGCAGTGCTTAGACTTCTGTTTTGGTGGTGTTGTGCTGCTTCACTCTCCTGCTCACCTCCACTCCCTTCACCATGCATCCAGACCTTCCCTTTCCACCCACTCCACTCACAATCCCCCGTCCCAACCCCTCTTCCACATTCTCCTCGGCCTTCCCTCCCGGAGCCACAGTCATCAAGCTATGCATCGCAAGCGGTTTCTGAGGCGGCCCGAACGTCCTAACTACACTATTCTCCCCACGCTCCTCAACCCCCTCCCCCCTAACCCCTCTTCCCCACGCTCCTCAACCCCCTCCCCCTTAACCCCTCTTCCCCACGCTCCTCACCCCTCTCCCTCCAGGCACCACAGTCATTGAGCTGCACATATCAAGCAAGGCAGGCCCGTCTTTCCACCTTCTAGCCGACGTGTGCGGCCTCAACTACCACCAGCCATCTCACCCACTCAACTCACTCTCCCCCTCTCCTCCCTTCTCGCCTCACCCTTCCCCCTCCAGGAGCCACAGTCATCGAGCTACGCGTAGCGAGCGAGGGAGATCCGACCTTCCACCTTCTAGCCGACGCGTGCCGCCTCAACTACCACCTCTTCCTAGCCGGCGCCTCTTTCAGCCCCTACGAGCCTTCCCACCCGCTCAGCCTCGCCACGCAAAGGGTGCAGTTGCACCAACCACGGGTCCTGCTCCGAACACTCAGGGCAGCGGTGGTGCGAATAAAGAGAGAATGAAAGGAGAATGAAGCAAGCTTGAAGTGTGATGTGAATGAAGTCATTGCCTTGCCTTGCAAGCTGCCAGGCATCATGTGCAGGACCTTTGCAACAAACCAATACAGTATAAAGGCTTGGTCACTACTAGTACAGTAAATATCACGGCTGTTTGAGTGACCTGCACTGCAGGGAAGGTCAAAATCCTGGCCAGCATGCTGGTCTGCCTATCTTCAGTTCTTGTCTGGGGATATATGATGTGCCTCGACAATACTCCTGATGTACCATATTATACCGACATACCTACGTATCAAATTCAGGGATATAACGACATTTCCTTCACAATCTGGAAAGAAAGCACTTTGCATAATCAGCATAAGCCAGTGGACAAGATCAAAGAAGTGTAGTCCTACTGCAAGTTGATCCACACCACACCATCTACCCTCCGTTTACTACCAGTAAGGTCTTCGCTCCAATCACCCAGCATGGTGCAGTGCAGCAGCGTCTAACACCACTCCCTGTGTCTGGCATCAACAAACGCCCAATCTTCCTGCCTCTTCCTTATCCTCCCTTTCCCCATTACATCTCCCTCCCTCCCCTGCGTTCATCAGCCTACCCATCCTAAAGCATTCTAAGAAATAGAGAGCATTGCAAAATTAGCATACACACTGCTGTACTGGTATGTACTGCAGCACGAGCCATGGAGGTATGCACTGCTATGGCCCAAGACCAGCTACGAAGCTCCCTCAAAAAAACACCCCACGCTGCATATCGCCCCGCACCACATACGTATATATACCAAAGACATCGAACGCTCCCTCACTGTGCCTTGCCCTTGCTGGCGCTGCCTGGCTTGATGGGCTTGAGGCGCTCCTTGAACATCTCCACCAGCTCCTCCTGTGTGCGCTGCGGCTGCCCGATGTTCACATAGCTGAATACAGAGAGCGGACAGTTCAGAGGGAGGGGGTGGGGTAGGGGGGTCAGGAGACTTCTGAATCGTCTCATACGGTGCTGCTTGAACATCAACACCAGCTCCTCCTGTGTGTGCTTCAACATAGCTGACCAGGGGGAGAAGAGGGAGAGACGGCAGTGGGAGGCGCGGAGTGAGCGGGGAATAACATGGATGGCATAGGGAGCAAGGGAAACGGGAGGGCATGTGTGCAGTATGCATGCGCTTGTGAGGAAAGCGAAAGACGAGGCCTGAGGAAGGGAGAGGAAGAAGCGGGCAAGGGGGAGGAAGCAGAGGTCACTGAGGTGGGCTTGGCATGGCATGGCATGGCATGGGCATGGCATGGCATGGCGTGGCATGGCAATACATGGTACGGCATGACATGGCACATGACAACACAGCACAGCACAACACAGCACAGCACAGCCCAGCACAGCACAGCACAGCGCAGCACAGCACAGCAAGGCACGACATACTAGGTGGCGAGTTTCTTGAGCTGGCCTGTGAAGACAAGGATGCCCACGTCAATGAAGTGCAGCTCGCGGAACACGATGGCGTCCTCCCTCGCGTGCACGTCCAGCGTCTCCATGAAGCGGTGCGGCAGGTCCAGCCTGCAGTGGTTCAAACAAGGGGCGGGAGAGAGGAGTAAGCAGGGGAGAGGGGGGGATGGTAGTGAGAAGGCGATGGAACACAATGGCGCCCTCCCTCGCATGCACGTCCAGCGTCTCCATGAAGCGGTGCGGCAGGTCCAGCCTGCCAGCCCAGCGGGAATGGCATGAACCAGGGGAGATGAGCGGATGGAGCATGAAACAAGAGTAGTGGAGACGGCGGGTGCGGAGAGGGGGAGGGGTGAGAAGGTGGGGCAGAGAGATGAGCGGACGAGCAGAAAGATGCTGGGCTGGGCATGGAAGTATGGCAGAGCATGTGAGGGTACGTGAGGGCACATGAGGTCATGACAGGGCAAGTGAGGGCATGTGAGAGCATGTGAGGGCATGTGAGAGCATGTGAGAGCATGTGTGGGCATGTGAGGGCACATTAGGGCATGTGGGGGCATGTGAGAGCATCACAGAGCACAGAAGGCAAAACAAGTATGGCAGGGTACGGTAATGTATGGTGTGTGCGGGCATGTGAGGTGCGTACCAGTGGATCTGCGAGTTGGCGTGGTGCAGAATGTGGTATCCGTCGTTGAAGGTCTTCTGGTTGTCAGGCGCGTTCATGCAGTTGTAGCTGCGAGTGGGGACACGCGCACACACACACGAGCATGCACGACAGGCGTCAGAGGCACGAGTTGGATTGAGGGGAATCTTCGGTGGGTATGGCAGGGACGGCACAGGGAGTGGCACAGAGAAGCAGCAAGGTTGGCAAAGATGGCAGAGGAGGATGGAAGGACGGCGGACAACATGCAGCATAAGGGGGGAGAGGGAGGAAGAGAGGGAGTGGGAAGGGAGGGAGGGAGGGAGGGAGTCAGGGAGGGAGGGAGGGAGGGAGTGAGGGAGGGAGGGAGTGAGGGAGGGAGGGAGTGAGGGAGGGAGGGAGTGAGGGAGGGAGGGAGTGAGGGAGGGAGGGAGTGGGGAGGGAGGGAGTGAGGGAAGGAGGGAGGAGAGAGAACGAGAGGGAGAAGAGGGGGAGGGAAGGAGTGCGGAGCGTACGTGAGGGCGTAGTTGCTGCGGGAGTTGTTGGGGTCGATGAAAATGTGCTGGCTGAAGTTGCCGAACATGATGAGGAACGACGTCAGGCAGAAGGGCACGAACACCACCTGGTGCCACCCACACAGAGCGCCGCGTAGTTGGGGAAAGGGAGGGGAGGACGGAAGAGTAGCAGATACAGGGGGGAAGGATGGAACGGGAGAGGGGCGAGGGGCGAGGGGCGAGGGGAGAGGAGAGAGATGAGTGAGGAATGGTGAGATGGGACGCCACGGCAAGAATTGGGTAAAGCTGAACAAGTACATCGGAGTTGGGCAAACCGCCGATGCTACTTCCAATGTAGGATCTCATGCTACAGCCTTGTGAGGATCTTCCAGTGTGCCTCACATTCCCCCTCCGCTTTGAACCGTGCCCACTTCCTCCCACGTTCCTCCCCGCGCGACTTGACTCACCCATAGCGTGGCAATAGGCGCGACGAAGAAGAGCAGGAGAAGGGAGGAGTAGAGGGAGATGGAGACGGCGCTCTTCACGCACGCGCCGTACCGCCGCGTGCGGAACGCGTACAGCGGCATCTCGAACGGCGACAGCAGCCAGAAGCGCAGCCAGTACCTGCGCGGGCGGAGGGCACACGCGCGCGCGGGGGGGGATGCGAAACAGAGCGCGGGAACGGGGAAGAGGCGAGACAGCGGAGAGGGGGGGGGGGGGGGGAGGGGGGGATAAGGGAGAAAGATGAGCGAAGACGGACGAAGACGGAGGACGGAGAGAGAGGGGACGGGAGGGGGAAAGATGAGCTGAGGCACGGCCTGGGGTGGGCAGCGTCAGTAAGAGAGCAGCGATCGGCGCGCAGCGGCCGGGGAGGAGGGAGCAAAGCAGGGGATCGAGGAGGGGGCACAGCAGAGGTGGAAGGAGGCGGCACAGCAAATGTGGAAGGTAGCGGCAGAGAGCAGAGCAGAGCAGAGAAGGGTGCTTACACGACGAAGTGGAGGAAGTTGTCGCGCTGGTAGGGCTCCGTGGACGAGAGATCGTTGGGGTACAGGTTGTTCTCCTGCTCGCACAGATGCACAGCGGCACAGCGGCACACAGGCGCGATCAGACAAGGAGGGAATGACTTGAAAGGCGCAGAGTGAAGGGAGCAGCTTGGGGGGAAACAGGGTGGGGGGAGCGGGGGGAGGGAAACAGGGGGTGGGAGAAGGGCGAAGGGAGCAGGAGGAGGGAAGCAGGATGGGGAGAGCAGGTACTCACAACGTGGTGCATGATGCAGTGGTGCAGGCGATAAAAGCCCGGCGCAACGCCGAACAAAATCGAAACGAACGTGGGCAGCACGTGCGACAGAAGCTTCCCCGCGAACGTCTTCTTGTAGATCTGCGGCGCGCGACGAAGGAACAACGAGGTTTGAAGAGAAGTGAGCGAAGAGACGATCGAGAAAGAGGGACTCCACGAGAGTTTCCCTAATGAAGGCCGGAGCGTTTCAACCCGAGCGGATCAAGCACAGGTTACTGCGACTGGTTCGAAAAGGAGACGGAGAACGAAACAACGAGTGAGAGAAAATGATTTGCAGGCCGGGCGTGACGCTGCACGTCGCTCGATAGCTACAACGGCCACGTCGGCATCGAATGCCACTTTTTGTCAAGTTTCAGTCAGATCTGATCCTCCCCGATCAAACTATATCCGAATCTCTCTGCCCCTCCTGTTGGAGCAGTTCGAACTCACCCTTCCACGCACGCTCTGAATGGAACTCAGACCTAGACATCCGTTTTTCGAATGTGCCGACGCGAAACCCTTTCAGATCAGCGAAAACTCAGCAATGCACCGCACGATGCAACGCGGGCACGTCGGCTTAAACCCACACAGGCACGCAGCCGCAGCGCCGTCGTACCATGAGATGCTCGGAAAAGTGCAGGGCGAGCATGTATCGTTGCATGAAGAGCACGTAATGCAGAACCACGTACGTCGCTCCGATCAGGTTACCCTTCCACCCGCCCACCCCGCCAAGCCCGGGCGTGGTTATCAAAACGACCGCCAGAGCTGCCGGCACGCTCATGCAGACGATGTTGAAGGTAGCATAAGCCAACGGCGCGTCCTTGGGGTGATTAAGCTGCGCCACGAGCCACGTGTCGATCCAGCGCGGAGGCTTGAAGAGGTACTCTTGACGCGTCGCGGTGAAATCCGTGTTCACTAGCTCCGGCGCGCCCTTTTTACGAACCTCCCCGTCTCCATCTGTGCCAGTCACGACGCGTTGCGAGATGACACTCTCGTGGGCTAAATAAGCCGTGGATCCACCAAGCGAAACTTCGGGTGGAGCCATGGTTCGTCCGGGTTTGAAAGACTTCTGAGAATTCGAATCGGAGAGACAGAAACGGGATGGTCAGGTAAATGTACGCTTAGCGGATCATCAGGACTAAGACCGGAAGCCGACGGAAATCGGTAGAGCAAGAATGCAAGAAATGGACTTCACTGGAGTTGGCGAAGTAAGCCAGATGCAATGTCAATGAAACCTGCCATAAGCAACGATCTTTAAAAAAAGATCTAGCACTTGATGAGTACGGAGATGACGCACCTGGGGATATCACAAGCCCCCCCTAGGATCGTCGTGGAATGTGCGAGAATAGAGTATGCCGCGACGTTCACGGCCGCACTCAACGAGAACCGCTACAACAATATCACTCCGAGTTATGTTGCTGGGAGAGCCCAGTGCGAAGTAGATCACTTTCCCCCAAGTCGTCGTCAGCTGATTTATGGATCTGGGAGACAAAAGCTCGATGGATGAACCAGAGACCTCAGAGCTCCTCGTGGGACAGGCCAAGCGACCGACAATATAAACCAGATCCCTAGAGCCTGGTCGCGATCTCATGATCCTTGCTCTCCCCTCAGTCGCGATTTACATACGGTGCGTCTGGGTTCTTCCCGCGTATGCTGAGCTGACCACCAGGCTGATGGAAAGGCTGGCCTTGATGGTACTCTACTGTAGTTTCGGCCGATCCGCGTCAACATACTCGGGGTGTCAGAAGGGAAGCACTTCATTGGGTGCTGCTTGCCAGCCCACGATTCGACTCACACGTAGACACAATGCCTGCCAAGAACCTTGAGCTTGCATGATATTTGGCTGCCCCTGCGCTTTCAATTGGAGGACACACGTAGACACACTGCCAGCCAAGAACCTCCCTTGGATGAGATTTTTTTACCCGAACATATTTTTAATTTGACCACACTCGCAGAAGCGTTGGCAGAGAGGAAACTACATTGCGAGATTTGGATGGCCGAGTTTTCCCTCCAAAACCTGAAATCTTGAACGAACCACGGCCACGTATGGATTGAGGAACCAGCGGCGATGGAATGAGGGATAGATCCACCTTCCTCTTACCTACGCAGCGTTGGCAGCTCTCGGTCAGAAATTCTACATTTGTCATTCAACAAAACAAGGGGAGATATGCCGCGAGTAATTAACATGGGCCTCGATTATATTTGTGGTATAAAAACGCGTACGGTCACTGAGAAGGGGTGTTTTTACTTGGTTTAACACCCCTTCCACAAAATCCATCACAGTTAAAACCAGGGTCTCAAGTAAGGGCGCGTCCCCTCCCTCGATCGATCCTGCCCTCGATCGATCGAAGGACAGCTACAGTGTCGCGATTGACAAGGTAACCAGATTTCGAGAAGGCTTGCGAATCTACAGTAACTTGTGCCTAACGATCTTGTCACCTCCGCTGTGACGATCGATGTGCCCTCGTGGCCACACCGATCTCGGCTTTAGAAGGATCGAGGGTTTTTTGCCCCTTGTATTCTCGATCCTGTCACCCAGGGATCGAGATCGATCCGCTGTTGTCACCTCCCACCAATCCCACCCCAATCCTGCGATCGGTGTGCCCGATCGATTTTTCACAGCGATCGCGCGATCGATCGAGGGAGGGGACGCGCCCTAAGAGAATCTGTAATCAACTGCAAATCATTTGAGACTGAGTTACCTTGTTTTTCTAGGCGAGGCAGACTGGTTGGCTAGGGAAGTTGGCGTGCGACACTTCCCCACTTTTGCCTCAGCACCAATTGCAAAATAAATTTCAGGTACATGAGACTTTCGACAACTCTTGACATTTCACTGGCAATGTAGCTTCGGCTCCGAACCTCTTTCCATACCTAAAAGGTTTGGAACACAGCAAACAATTTTGTTCCCTTCGCATCCCTCCCTGCACCCCTTTTCGTTTTTCCAACTTCGTCAACCAATGGGAAACGGGGGTTTCTCAACAGCTGCAAAACAAATTATCTACGTGGGACCTTGGTTTAAAGAAAACAAGGATATATCTTTTGATTTATCAACCCTAAACATGTAACTCGCCTGGTTTCTTTTGTTGAACCGTTTGTTGACGACGTGATTAAAGTAGATGATCGATCGTCTCTTGCGTTTCGTGTGCGGATCAGTTACCCAGTTTACTAGCGTGTAACCATGCTACAGTATTTTTTTATCATTAATAAACGCACAGTTAGGGAATGCAACTGATCATTGAACGCTGGAATAAACCCAAAACAGAGTCGCGATCGTAGCAACGACATTTGCGCATCGTTTTGCCAATCCATTCGCTAAATCGATTGTGCGAATCGATATTGAAGCACGATCTTGCAATCTTCACAATTTTACCGCGTCCTGAGTACATCCACTCCCAGTTAGGTTTGTCAAACTCATATGCTATAGTCTGTGTAGGCTGGAGTGGGGTAGACAACATGGGGTACAACACTTTTAGGTTTTCCTACTTGTACCCACCTGCTTGCTAGTTCATTCATTCCTCATTTCTTCACATGGTATAGAGCAGGTTCCCTAGTGGGAACGCTTCCTTGGGCCCACCACTGAATTTTTTTTTTCTGACCGAAGCGCGAGTCGCCCCTGCCCGAGGCGCGCCCCGTGGGCCGCCCTCTTGTCGCGTCCCCTGCCCTTAGCGGCCCGTCGCGCCCTTCTAGAGGCCCCTCTCACGGCCCCTCGTGCCACCCCTAGCGGCCCCGTCGCCGCCCTTAGCGGCCCCGTCGCCACCCTTCGCGGCCCCGTCGCCGCCCTTCTAGGCCCCTCGCGGCCTCTTCGCGGCCCCGTCGCCGCCCCTATCGGCCCCGTCGCCGCCTCCAGCAGCCCCGTCGCCGCCCCTAGCGGCCCCGTCGCCGCCCCTATCGGCCCCGTCGCCGCCTCCAGCGGCCCCGTCGCCGCCCCTAGCGGCCCCGTCGCCGCCCCTATCGGCCCCGTCGCCGCCTCCAGCGGCCCCGTCGCCGCCCCTAGCGGCCCCGTCGCCGCCCCTATCGGCCCCGTCGCCGCCCCTAGCGGCCCCGTCGCCGCCCTTCGCGGCCCCGTCGCCGCCCTTCGCGGCCCCGTCGCCGCCTCTAGCGGCCCCGTTGCCGCCCTTCGCGGCCCCGTCGCCGCCTCTAGTGGCCCCGTCGCCGCCCTTCGCGGCCCCTTCAGCCGCCAAGCAGCCGAGCCGCCGAGCTACCGAGCCGCCGAGCCGCCGAGCCGCCGAGCCGCCGAACCGCCGAGCCGCCGAGCCGCCCAGCAGCCGAGCCGCCCAGCAGCCGAGCCGCCCAGCAGCCGAGCCGCCGAGCCACCGAGCCGAGCCACCGAGCCGCCGAGCCGCCGAGGCCGCCGTCGAGCCGCCACTACCGAGCCGCTGCCGCCGAGCCGCTGTCGAGCTGCTACTGTTCCTACCGGCGCGCCCCGGCCCTACCCACCCGGACTGGTGAGAGCACTCCCTGCTAGACCACTGCTGTCATGGCTACCCCCAGTGTCCTTACCTTTGATGCTGAGGGTCGTGCTGTTGATTTTGAGGTCTGGGTCGATGACCTCCAGCTCTTCCTACAGTGCGATAGGGCAGACGGACTCTCCCTGTTCGATCTCACCTCTGGTGCCTCTCCTGCCCCGCCTGCTGATGCTGACAGCACTGTTCGCTCACAGTGGGCCACACGCGATGCTGCTGCCCGTCTTGCTGTGCGTCGCCACTTACCGACCACTGAGCGTGCGCACTTTAGTCAGTACAAGAGTGCTAAGACCTTGTACGCCGCTGTAGTTGCACGCTACTCTTCCCCTGCCACTGCTGCTCTTAGCCGCCTCATGCCGCCGTACCTGTTCCCTGACCTTGCTGCCTTTCCCACAGTCGCTGACCTCATTACGCACCTTCGCACTAGTGACACTCGCTACCGCGCTGCGCTTCCTGCTGAGTTCTGTGCCAAGAACCCTCCCCCTATGTACATCACCCTCTACTACATAGTCACCCGGCTCCCTGACTCCCTTCGCTTAGTCAGGGACCACTTCCTCTCAGTTTTCCCCACCACACTCACCGTTGACCTCCTCGAGGAGCGCCTCTTGGCAGCAGAGAAGAGCATAGTCGCTGTAGGAGCCTCTCGTGGTGACCCCCGTACCCCCGTCTTTGAGGGGTGTTCCCCCTCCCCCCTCTTGCCCTCTGTTGCTTCTGCTGCTGCGGCCGACTTCGTTGGCTTCGAGTCGGTCGGCGTTGCGTCTGCCCCTAGCGGGAGATGCCGCACCGGCAAGGGCAAGGGGGGCAAGGGCGCTGGAGGGGCTGGCGGGGGCGGTGGAGGTGGCGGTGGAGGCAGTGGAGGGGGTGGGGGTGGTGGTGGGAGTGGTGGCGGGGGTGGAGGTGTCGGTGGCAGCAGTGGAGGCGGAGGAGGCGGCGGCGGTGGCGGTGGGAGCGGAGGCGGCGGAGGTGGCGGAGGCGGCGGCGGCGGCGGTGGAGCTGGTCGCGGCTCTACGCAGAGGAGTGGCTCCGGTGGTGGTCCGCGCCAGCTGCAGCAGCGCACTCGTGAGACCCTGTCCCCCCAGCAGCTTCGTGAGTGGTACGCTGGACGTCAGCGAGGTGGGGGTACTGGTCCCTGTGCCTACGTCCTCCGTACCGGCGACCGCGCTGGTGAGCAGTGCGGGGGCTCGCACTCCACCCAGCGCTGCTTCGGCCACCTGACGGACGCTTGGCGTCACCAGTTCCCTGACGCCACTGAGATCCCTCGCTGGGGAGAGCTGTCTAGGGCGGGGGTTGCTATCTTTGATCTTGACTATGATGCTATTCTTGCTGCCATGTATGCTGTGTCTAATAGTGATGAGGGTGACTGTTACCTGTGTGTTCCGCCTGACCCGGGCATTGAGGCTGCTGCTCTAGGTGCTGGTGAGGCTGCTGCTCTAGGTGCTAGTGCGTCTGCTGCCCCAGGTGCTGGTGAGTCTGCTCTCTCAGGTACCACGTCGGCTCAGGCCTTCCACACCTTCACCCTTGACTCGGGTGCTTCCCGCTCCTTCTTTCGAGACCGCACCACGCTTACGCCGCTTAGTCGGCCGGTTGCGGTCTCCCTGGCGGACCC